TTTCAACACAAAAAAATGCAATCATTCATAACATTTTTGGTTCAACATGAAAAAGTAAGTACAGAGTGCCTTAAAGTAAAAAACATCCTTGCTTGGAATCATGATTATATAAAACCTACCTTACCTATAGGTGTGGCAGGTAATAGACTACCTGGTAGGAATTAAATGTTTCTAAGAGGCTTTTCCAGCACAATCACCCAAGGAGTCTGGAGTTCCAGCATCTCCTTGAAGAAACCTTAGTGCACAAAGTCCCCGCTGAATCAAGCATGTGTTACCTCTGATGGGCTGATTATTAGCCATCAGCTCCCAGAAGCACACCAGCTCATATCAGCCCCTTGGCCACCTGGCTGGAAAAAGGGAAGGGCTGAATGTGGGGGAGCCTGCTGAGAGTCCTGGCTGTTTACAGAGCAGTGGGAAAGCGAACAAGGGACCAAAGGCCATCTGACCTATCTCACATCATCTAATGCAGGTCTGGGACTGTGCTATGAATCTATTTGAGGTGCATCTAATCAGGTAAGATATTTTATGGTGACAAATCCTGAAAGAAGTATTCTGTAGGGCAGGAACTTTATCTACAGCATTCTTGTAAGGTGCTCCACCTTCTGTGGTTTGTGTGAGAGTATGTTCGAACTTAATTTCCTTAGCAGGTCTTGTCCTGTTTCGAGAATATTTGGGGGCTGCCAGGGAGGGAGGACCTTTGGTGTGGACAATGGCTAGTTTTCAAGCAGGGCACCAGTTCTCACACTAGACATGTCCCCCTCCAGTGAAGTGGAATTTTGATCACCCTGAATAACACAATGGAAAATGTAAGTGACAGTGTTCTTAAAATGATTTCAGCAAAAATGAAAGGAACTTGACACTGTATGAAAATGAGCCCTTGAGAAGGGACCCTTGTTTCTCTTGTATTCTTTTCCCTTTTTTGGTGTGACCGTATCCTATTTTAGTTTTGGTGGGTGCCAGTCATAAATCTATTCCTTTATGTTATACTTCAAGGCAAAAGACAGTTGCTCTTGAGACTGAAATCTGTTCCTTAATATTGCATGATGGAAACAATAGGGAGAGTGTGGCCAGCATGGAAAATGGAAATTACGTCTCTGCCTCATGTCCATGGTGCTGGGGGTGCCGTTGATGTTTAATAAATTCTTACTGATTTGCATTATTAGCCATTAAATTCTTTTAAAATTCTCTTTCCATTAGGTCTCATCAATTACTGGCTAATGCAGAATTCTGAATACAGACAATATAAGATTTTTAAGAGGATGAATTAGGAGAAATTAGGATGCCCTCCACAAAGTTGGAGGTAGTAGAATACAATGAAATACAAAATCCATCAACACTGAGATGAAGCCTGGGATGTAAAAGCACAATAACAGCCTCATAAAAAATTAACTCTTTTAAGGGACAATCACACAAGGCCTGGGATTAGCAACTTTCCACAGGCTATATAGTCAGGATTTGTTTGTATTAGGAATATTGGAGCAGAAAATGACTTTCAATGATGTCATTTGATAATCAACTCTCTTCCATATGGAATCCCCATGAAAATTGGTGTTCAAAGCTTCTGGCTGAGGGTTCTATTCAGGAGGATGTAGAAGAAAAAAATTGAATTTTAAAAAGTTACATAGAGAGATCACTATTTTTAGTGTGAAAGGTATGAAATTGATAATGCTGGATTTTATGCTTTGGGCTTGGAGCACTGTATCTTAAACGTTCAGTATTTTCACATTCAATAGTTTATTCAACAAGCATTTAGCAAGTGCTTTGTGTCAGACACTGTGTGCATCAGTGGGGATACCAAGATGAATGAGATGCGATCCATGCTCCTCAGTCTCACGGACTAGAGGAGCACAGGGATGTGGTAAAGATAAGCCACCTGGGAGCCACTGTGAGGTACAGTGAGCACCCCGCTGCCTGAGCATAGCGGGGGCTCCACCCTCATGTGAGTGTGGTTGGGGGTGGAGAAAGAAGCGGGGCCATGGTGTGGGGAAGCCACTCTGGGGCAGCCTTTGCTGGTTTTGCGATGGTTTTCATGATCTTTAGAGTCACACCAGTTGGCGCTGTGACACAGCTTGGGGGGGCCCACCTGGCCAAGTTCTTGCCAGGATGCTGTGCCCCCCCTAGTGAGAAAGTTTACCAACTCCGCCAGGAAGGAGGATCTTTCACATTTGTTAGATATTAAAATATTTATGCCCTGAAAGAGTTTCATTGCCTTTGCAACCTTCACTGTTACCTCTGATATAAACATGCTCTGCTGGGCAAAAGCCGGGGGCTCCATTCACGATCCTTGGAACATTTGTCATTGTGAAGGCAGCGCATTGGAAGCTGCTGTCTACAGAAAGGATCAGTTTATGATCTCAAATAGTCCCCGATAGGAAATGTCTGATATTTTTAAAGCCTTCTTCCTACATCTTTTCTTTATGCCTTTGATCACACTCCTACCTGACTTTTTTGAGCCCTTGGTACCTCCTGTCTTCCCCGTCATTTCCCTTCCCCTTAAGAGGTGGTCTGAATTAGAAGTTGGTATTTTTACTTATTTATTAAACAATCTGAATCTCCTGTATGTTGAGCCAGGCACTCTTCAAAGCACTTTATAAATATGAGCCCATTTAGTCTTCATAAAAATTCTTTGGTGTGCCTACTCTTACTGCCACGTAGTTTTTACAGATAAGGAAAATCAAAGTAGAGATATTAGGGAACATATATTAAGGACACACAGTCAGAAAGCGCAAGCTGCAGAGCTGGGATTTGAATCCAGAGCTCCATGCTCTCACTGTCCATATGGGGTGATTGACAGAGCCACAGTGCTGAGGCATGGACAGGTTCCACTGCCGGCCCACTAGCGAAGTCGTTGGAAAGGCTTGTTCCAATTCACCAAGACTTTTTCACTTCTGCCCAAAGCATGCTGAACTCTTTATAAAAAGACGCTTTTGAAATGCAGAGGTTGACAGCTTTATTTGCGGAACCACGCTGTGGTTTTGGGCTGCAGTCTGCTGGGCACTGGCTATGTGGTGGTCAGTCTTTCAAAATGGTGTAATATTTGTATTGCTTTTGTTGGATAATTGCATGCCTTTAATTTGTGGTATTATAAACAGAGCAGTAATCCGGCTCAGGAGTAGCCAGCAAAAGTTATTTGATATCCATTAAGGCAAGTTGCTATTTTTATTCACCTCAGTAGAGGTGAATATTATGATGGTCAGGAAAAAGCAACATTGGAGTATACTCTAATGGGTGTCTCCTGACTGGGTAGGTTGAAAAAAAGAAAAGAAGAACCTTGTGAAGAAAGTAGGGAATAATTCTGTTTCCTTTTCTCACAGGCGAATATAATGTTCTCCTTAGATATTATGACAGTTTAGCTTTCTTTAGAATATGAATTTTAAGGGAGAAAAAAAAGTGACACCTTTTTAGTTCATGGACTTGGAATAGTGGTTATTTGAAAAGACCTACTTAAACCACAGCTATCCAAAATGTTTACCTACTCAGAAAATCCTAATGATTCAAAATTATTGAAAACATTAAATCATCTGAATAATTACTTACTTAGTAACTGTGAAGTCCCTGTATAGTAACTGTATTGGAAATAAGGGTATTCATCATCAGTAATTGCTTTTTGTCAGTGTTCTGTGATTTAGTTCACTTATATATTTGAAGGCCAAGAATAGGTTATTTAGATAGCATCTCCCATCCAAAGACATTTCAATGATTTGCAAACTTGAGCCCAAGTTAACTGTTCAGTCTTTGGAGATGAATCATTCCTTTTGTTTAGCCCATTGGTATAGTATTTAGATTAACTTGTAGGTTTATATTTAACCTGACAGAATCCAAAGAGCCAGATCAGGCATATGCTAGTGGTCTCTGGGGCCCTGACAGAGCTATGAGCAGGGAAGAGGACCCAAGCCATTAGTTTGTGATTAATGTTTGTGCAAAGCAATATTTCTGCCATTTTATGGATGGAGCAACTGAGGCACTGAGAGGTTAAGTGGCTTGCCCTCAATCACAAGGCAGTTCAACAGATCCAGGAAAATCAGGCAAGCATGCAGCCTGCCCAGGATTCTGTATCCAAGTCTCACCAATTTAAAATTTTGCAAGTTACAGTTCCTGTACCTGCCCATGGGCAGGTTACAAATTGGAAGTTGAAACTGAAATGAGCGGATGTCGGCAATCACTTTCTAGGGGAAGGAAGCTACCGAGGTTTTCGGTGGCTAACAGAGCTGACCTGGGAGCCAACGATCCCGGTGGACCCAACCCTCTGGGACCTGCTGGCTCTCTGCTGATCCCCCAAGGCTTCTTTCCATGAGGATTCAATCAGCTTCGGGATGCTGGCCGGGGTGGGGGGCAGGAGGACTGTAAATCTGGGAAAGCTGCAAGTATTCAGGGTCTTGAACTTTATCAGGTTTGAATGTGCGATTGTGAAAGTAAAGAGCGGAGAAATGACGGCACTTAGTAAATCAAACGGAGAGAAGCTCAGGACTGTCAGAGGCAAGAGGAAAACAGGCTCTGGGCACAAACCCGGCTGGAAGCCTGCAGGGGGACAGACTTTTATGTTCCCTCCAGACTTTGCCTTCTGAAAAACAAATTTCTTTCCCTGTCATTTTATCTAGAGAACAGTATTCTTTGTTATGTCCCATGGATTTCTTTTTTTAAATTTTCGTTACTGAGGGTTAGATCTTGTTTTAGAAGTCGGGGGTGCCATAAGAAAAAAACAGAAAGGAAATCCGCTGGAAAATGTCTGGAATGGCCTAGATTTTCCTCTATTAATAATGTGTTACATAGCTTCTCAGTGACCTTTATTTTTTTATTCCTTAACACAATGTGATTAAAGGAGAATAAGTCTCCTGCATAAATAGCAACACCAAACTGAAAAGTAAAGAGCATGAGAGAAGTATAGTTAGATGACCAGGTCAATTTAGTTAGTTCTTTTTCTGTGCTTATAGCTAATGCCAGTCCCCACTATAGCCCTTCTTCATGGCCCCATCTGTTATCTATCTCCTATCTACTGCCAGAAAGAAGTTCCCTGGCAGGGTGCTGTTAAGGACCAGGATACCTTTCTTGATGCAGAGGATGAGCCTCAAGATTACTATCTTTGTCCTGGAGAAGACATTGGAGTCTGCTGCTGGCATTGCAAGAGGAACTGCAAGGAACATTTCCTCTTCAAAGGAATCAAAAGCAAGTAAAGGACCAATGTTTGTCTCCCCACTCCCCACTCCCCCCTTTCCCACCATTATGCAATAAATAAAGTCTCCACTGCTGGTACACAGAAAAAGCTGGAGACCTCTAGTGACTGGCGGGACTCAAAGTTAATGGGTTTTCCAGGAACTTCTTTCCTGAATTAATTTAGCTCCAGGGGATAGTTGGGTCACACAAGAAACTGAAATTTGGTTGGTGTATGTGAGTCTTAGAACAGAAATTGGTATTAACAGTTCACACTTACATAGCACTTACTATTTGCAGGTACCATTAGCCCTCTGCATGTAAGAAATCTTTTAATCCACTCAACAATATTGCATGGGCGGTACTTTCATCATCCCCATGTTACAGCTGAGGATGCCCAGGCACAGAGAGGTTAGGCAACTTGTCCTGGTCACACAGCTAGAAAGTGGTGGGGTCAGGATTCAAACCCAGGCAGGCTAGCCCCAAGTCTGGGCTCTCAAAAATTCCTTCTGTGTGTGACCTAGAGGGACTCCCTTTTTTATAAACTCACTGAGATGCCTAGAGGACAATCTGAGCCTGGGCACTTTTCTGGAGAAAGAAAAAAAAAACGTTCCAGCAACTCCGTTCCTCTTGGAAGTCATGTCTGGTACTTTGCCTAACCGGCTCTGCAGAGGTGCCAACCTTCTAGACTGTAAACACTTTAGAGCTGGGAGCTAACTTCTGGTTCTTCTTTGAGCTGTATGTACTCAGTACTGTTGGGCAAGTACAGGAGACTGGAGCACTGCATATGGGTAGACAACCTTTTGGTCCTAATTCTCTGCATATCTGCCACATAACTGAGTGGAGAGGTCATATGCATGGGTAGCAAATGCAGTAATTTTTAAATTTCTTGGGCACCTTTTTTCTCTTTATTTGACTCAAGGAGGAGCGTTTAGTTAGCAGACCTCCAAAAGCCTATCACCTTCTTTTCCTGTTTCCCCTCTGCAACAGCTCACCTCCCCCCAGGGCTCCCAAGAAGAGAAAAGCAATCACAGAGTTTCTGAGCTGAGACTATTCTTGCATGGGGCATCTGGCCCCTGACCGGAGAACTGGCATTGTCTGCACACCTAGTGATACCAACAAAATCCAGGGAGGGCCCAGGTCCATCTGTCTAGTGGGTTGGAAATTTCTGCACCTCTTTCACCTTTTTGAGAGCAGAAATCCCATTTCCTCTGATGGTCTGATTTTTCCTATCCCTAGAGGCTGGGTGAGGGGGAAGGATCAGATAAAGTGGATGATTTTGGAGTTCACCTTATTTGGTGAATACAATGAAATACAAAATCCATCAACACTGAGATGAAGCCTGGGATGTAAAAGCACAATAACAGCCTCATAAAAAATTAACTCTTTTAAGGGACAATCACACAAGGCCTGGGATTAGCAACTTTCCACAGGCTATATAGTCAGGATTTGTTTGTATTAGGAATATTGGAGCAGAAAATGACTTTCAATGATGTCATTTGATAATCAACTCTCTTCCATATGGAATCCCCATGAAAATTGGTGTTCAAAGCTTCTGGCTGAGGGTTCTGTTCAGGAGGATGTAGAAGAAAAAAATTGAATTTTAAAAAGTTACATAGAGAGATCACTATTTTTAGTGTGAAAGGTATGAAATTGATAATGCTGGATTTTATGCTTTGGGCTTGGAGCACTGTATCTTAAACGTTCAGTATTTTCACATTCAATAGTTTATTCAACAAGCATTTAGCAAGTGCTTTGTGTCAGACACTGTGTGCATCAGTGGGGATACCAAGATGAATGAGATGCGATCCATGCTCCTCAGTCTCACGGACTAGAGGAGCACAGGGATGTGGTAAAGATAAGCCACCTGGGAGCCACTGTGAGGTACAGTGAGCACCCCGCTGCCTGAGCATAGCGGGGGCTCCACCCTCATGTGAGTGTGGTTGGGGGTGGAGAAAGAAGCGGGGCCATGGTGTGGGGAAGCCACTCTGGGGCAGCCTTTGCTGGTTTTGCGATGGTTTTCATGATCTTTAGAGTCACACCAGTTGGCGCTGTGACACAGCTTGGGGGGGCCCACCTGGCCAAGTTCTTGCCAGGATGCTGTGCCCCCCCTAGTGAGAAAGTTTACCAACTCCGCCAGGAAGGAGGATCTTTCACATTTGTTAGATATTAAAATATTTATGCCCTGAAAGAGTTTCATTGCCTTTGCAACCTTCACTGTTACCTCTGATATAAACATGCTCTGCTGGGCAAAAGCCGGGGGCTCCATTCACGATCCTTGGAACATTTGTCATTGTGAAGGCAGCGCATTGGAAGCTGCTGTCTACAGAAAGGATCAGTTTATGATCTCAAATAGTCCCCGATAGGAAATGTCTGATATTTTTAAAGCCTTCTTCCTACATCTTTTCTTTATGCCTTTGATCACACTCCTACCTGACTTTTTTGAGCCCTTGGTACCTCCTGTCTTCCCCGTCATTTCCCTTCCCCTTAAGAGGTGGTCTGAATTAGAAGTTGGTATTTTTACTTATTTATTAAACAATCTGAATCTCCTGTATGTTGAGCCAGGCACTCTTCAAAGCACTTTATAAATATGAGCCCATTTAGTCTTCATAAAAATTCTTTGGTGTGCCTACTCTTACTGCCACGTAGTTTTTACAGATAAGGAAAATCAAAGTAGAGATATTAGGGAACATATATTAAGGACACACAGTCAGAAAGCGCAAGCTGCAGAGCTGGGATTTGAATCCAGAGCTCCATGCTCTCACTGTCCATATGGGGTGATTGACAGAGCCACAGTGCTGAGGCATGGACAGGTTCCACTGCCGGCCCACTAGCGAAGTCGTTGGAAAGGCTTGTTCCAATTCACCAAGACTTTTTCACTTCTGCCCAAAGCATGCTGAACTCTTTATAAAAAGACGCTTTTGAAATGCAGAGGTTGACAGCTTTATTTGCGGAACCACGCTGTGGTTTTGGGCTGCAGTCTGCTGGGCACTGGCTATGTGGTGGTCAGTCTTTCAAAATGGTGTAATATTTGTATTGCTTTTGTTGGATAATTGCATGCCTTTAATTTGTGGTATTATAAACAGAGCAGTAATCCGGCTCAGGAGTAGCCAGCAAAAGTTATTTGATATCCATTAAGGCAAGTTGCTATTTTTATTCACCTCAGTAGAGGTGAATATTATGATGGTCAGGAAAAAGCAACATTGGAGTATACTCTAATGGGTGTCTCCTGACTGGGTAGGTTGAAAAAAAGAAAAGAAGAACCTTGTGAAGAAAGTAGGGAATAATTCTGTTTCCTTTTCTCACAGGCGAATATAATGTTCTCCTTAGATATTATGACAGTTTAGCTTTCTTTAGAATATGAATTTTAAGGGAGAAAAAAAAGTGACACCTTTTTAGTTCATGGACTTGGAATAGTGGTTATTTGAAAAGACCTACTTAAACCACAGCTATCCAAAATGTTTACCTACTCAGAAAATCCTAATGATTCAAAATTATTGAAAACATTAAATCATCTGAATAATTACTTACTTAGTAACTGTGAAGTCCCTGTATAGTAACTGTATTGGAAATAAGGGTATTCATCATCAGTAATTGCTTTTTGTCAGTGTTCTGTGATTTAGTTCACTTATATATTTGAAGGCCAAGAATAGGTTATTTAGATAGCATCTCCCATCCAAAGACATTTCAATGATTTGCAAACTTGAGCCCAAGTTAACTGTTCAGTCTTTGGAGATGAATCATTCCTTTTGTTTAGCCCATTGGTATAGTATTTAGATTAACTTGTAGGTTTATATTTAACCTGACAGAATCCAAAGAGCCAGATCAGGCATATGCTAGTGGTCTCTGGGGCCCTGACAGAGCTATGAGCAGGGAAGAGGACCCAAGCCATTAGTTTGTGATTAATGTTTGTGCAAAGCAATATTTCTGCCATTTTATGGATGGAGCAACTGAGGCACTGAGAGGTTAAGTGGCTTGCCCTCAATCACAAGGCAGTTCAACAGATCCAGGAAAATCAGGCAAGCATGCAGCCTGCCCAGGATTCTGTATCCAAGTCTCACCAATTTAAAATTTTGCAAGTTACAGTTCCTGTACCTGCCCATGGGCAGGTTACAAATTGGAAGTTGAAACTGAAATGAGCGGATGTCGGCAATCACTTTCTAGGGGAAGGAAGCTACCGAGGTTTTCGGTGGCTAACAGAGCTGACCTGGGAGCCAACGATCCCGGTGGACCCAACCCTCTGGGACCTGCTGGCTCTCTGCTGATCCCCCAAGGCTTCTTTCCATGAGGATTCAATCAGCTTCGGGATGCTGGCCGGGGTGGGGGGCAGGAGGACTGTAAATCTGGGAAAGCTGCAAGTATTCAGGGTCTTGAACTTTATCAGGTTTGAATGTGCGATTGTGAAAGTAAAGAGCGGAGAAATGACGGCACTTAGTAAATCAAACGGAGAGAAGCTCAGGACTGTCAGAGGCAAGAGGAAAACAGGCTCTGGGCACAAACCCGGCTGGAAGCCTGCAGGGGGGCAGACTTTTATGTTCCCTCCAGACTTTGCCTTCTGAAAAACAAATTTCTTTCCCTGTCATTTTATCTAGAGAACAGTATTCTTTGTTATGTCCCATGGATTTCTTTTTTTAAATTTTCGTTACTGAGGGTTAGATCTTGTTTTAGAAGTCGGGGGTGCCATAAGAAAAAAACAGAAAGGAAATCCGCTGGAAAATGTCTGGAATGGCCTAGATTTTCCTCTATTAATAATGTGTTACATAGCTTCTCAGTGACCTTTATTTTTTTATTCCTTAACACAATGTGATTAAAGGAGAATAAGTCTCCTGCATAAATAGCAACACCAAACTGAAAAGTAAAGAGCATGAGAGAAGTATAGTTAGATGACCAGGTCAATTTAGTTAGTTCTTTTTCTGTGCTTATAGCTAATGCCAGTCCCCACTATAGCCCTTCTTCATGGCCCCATCTGTTATCTATCTCCTATCTACTGCCAGAAAGAAGTTCCCTGGCAGGGTGCTGTTAAGGACCAGGATACCTTTCTTGATGCAGAGGATGAGCCTCAAGATTACTATCTTTGTCCTGGAGAAGACATTGGAGTCTGCTGCTGGCATTGCAAGAGGAACTGCAAGGAACATTTCCTCTTCAAAGGAATCAAAAGCAAGTAAAGGACCAATGTTTGTCTCCCCACTCCCCACTCCCCCCTTTCCCACCATTATGCAATAAATAAAGTCTCCACTGCTGGTACACAGAAAAAGCTGGAGACCTCTAGTGACTGGCGGGACTCAAAGTTAATGGGTTTTCCAGGAACTTCTTTCCTGAATTAATTTAGCTCCAGGGGATAGTTGGGTCACACAAGAAACTGAAATTTGGTTGGTGTATGTGAGTCTTAGAACAGAAATTGGTATTAACAGTTCACACTTACATAGCACTTACTATTTGCAGGTACCATTAGCCCTCTGCATGTAAGAAATCTTTTAATCCACTCAACAATATTGCATGGGCGGTACTTTCATCATCCCCATGTTACAGCTGAGGATGCCCAGGCACAGAGAGGTTAGGCAACTTGTCCTGGTCACACAGCTAGAAAGTGGTGGGGTCAGGATTCAAACCCAGGCAGGCTAGCCCCAAGTCTGGGCTCTCAAAAATTCCTTCTGTGTGTGACCTAGAGGGACTCCCTTTTTTATAAACTCACTGAGATGCCTAGAGGACAATCTGAGCCTGGGCACTTTTCTGGAGAAAGAAAAAAAAAACGTTCCAGCAACTCCGTTCCTCTTGGAAGTCATGTCTGGTACTTTGCCTAACCGGCTCTGCAGAGGTGCCAACCTTCTAGACTGTAAACACTTTAGAGCTGGGAGCTAACTTCTGGTTCTTCTTTGAGCTGTATGTACTCAGTACTGTTGGGCAAGTACAGGAGACTGGAGCACTGCATATGGGTAGACAACCTTTTGGTCCTAATTCTCTGCATATCTGCCACATAACTGAGTGGAGAGGTCATATGCATGGGTAGCAAATGCAGTAATTTTTAAATTTCTTGGGCACCTTTTTTCTCTTTATTTGACTCAAGGAGGAGCGTTTAGTTAGCAGACCTCCAAAAGCCTATCACCTTCTTTTCCTGTTTCCCCTCTGCAACAGCTCACCTCCCCCCAGGGCTCCCAAGAAGAGAAAAGCAATCACAGAGTTTCTGAGCTGAGACTATTCTTGCATGGGGCATCTGGCCCCTGACCGGAGAACTGGCATTGTCTGCACACCTAGTGATACCAACAAAATCCAGGGAGGGCCCAGGTCCATCTGTCTAGTGGGTTGGAAATTTCTGCACCTCTTTCACCTTTTTGAGAGCAGAAATCCCATTTCCTCTGATGGTCTGATTTTTCCTATCCCTAGAGGCTGGGTGAGGGGGAAGGATCAGATAAAGTGGATGATTTTGGAGTTCACCTTATTTGGAAGGAGTGGTGAGAAAAGACAGGCATCCTTAACTTCTGGGGCCCAACATGAGGTGACAGAAACTGAAGATGCTGGGTTGTCCTTTGGAGTTCAGGGTTCTGTCTCCTGTGTAACCACAGAAGAACATATGGGGGAAGGCAGAAGACATGCAAATAAGCCCCTCCTCAGGAAGCCAAGTGGGGCTGACTGCCACCCTCAGCTTTTTATGCAGCCATATTTAAAAGCAGTGGGAATGGCTTGTGTGGGCCTGGAGTATGGGGAAATGCTCCATCTACTTACGGGGAGAAGAAACCACTCTCTGAGGGAAACCCAAAAACATGGCATCTGACTCCCTAAGCCCACTTTCCAGTTCTGCATCAGGAAACTGGATACTCCTAGTGAAAAGGAAGGGATTATCCTAGGTGCTGGGCCTGCGCCCAGCTGGCAGCCCTAAGTTTTATGTAGTGATGCCAGTAGTAATTAATAATGATAGTAAATACCACACTTCAAAACCAAACCCAACCTGAGGATGACTGGATGACTGGACCTCTGCCTCCCACCTGCACGCCGTTAGTCTGCGAGTCCGCACCCTCCCCATTCGCCAGTCCCATACAGCCGCCCGGTTCCACCCACCGCGTTCTGCCTGGGGTTCCAAACAAGGTCTGCTCCCCATTCCCGAGGTGAGGAGTAGCGCTGCCCCTTAGGAGAACTGCAGGAAGACGGGCCGAAAGGTAGGGATGGTTGGGCGTTGTGGTATTATCCAGTGTCAGAAAATAATAAAAATGGGATGGGAATGTAGGCTCCTTTGAGCTCGGTTTAGTTTTTCTGCAGAGTGCAAAGGGGGCTGACTGTCTCGGGAACCCAGCTCCCGCCTGTAATTCCACGGAGCCTGGCATTCCCGGGCCCGGCAGGCTGCGGACCTCCGCGTTCCCCGCGCAGCGCCGCAGTCCCGCCGGGCCCACCCGGGACCTGGGCGGCGGAGGCGGAGATCTCAGCGTCCAGCGCGCAGCCAGGCCGCGGGGAGGGAGGCCGGCGCCGGGTGGAATGTCTTTATCGGGATCCCAGGGCCACAAGCTGCTCCTTGGTTTCTTTAAGCGATCGCGGAAAGACACCTTTCGATCTTTTGTCAGACATCTTGGCCCTTAATAGCTAAATTTATTTGGTTTAAAGCGGCCTTGGGAGAGGCAGGGAGGGAAAATCTTTCGTCGGTCATTGGGTGGCCTAGATAACAAGCTTTAAAAGAGAGAGGGAAGAAGAAAGTAAAAAGGTTAATGGATGAGGGAGGGCTGGAAGGCGCCCAGCAAGGGGCTTTTACGGCGACCCTCCCCCGGCCGCCCCCTTATCGCGGCCCTAACCTACCCGCGGCGCACGAAGTACATTAAGTCACGTAAACAGCGCGCGGAGAGGAATGCCACCGCGGTGACCTTTCGCGCGCCGCCGCCGCTCGCCCACCTCCGCGCCGTGCTGGCGGCCGCCGGCGGCGCGCGGGGCTGGCGGGGCTGCGGGCCGAGGGGCCGCCGCACCGATTCCGTGCGCCCGGCCCGGCGTCGGCGCTGCGGGTCTCCCACCCCGACTGACCGGCGGAGGGAGGAGAGAAGAGGGAGCAGGGTGGGGACGACCGTTTTCGCGCGTCCGCCGCCACCACCTGACATTTCTAAAGGGTATTTTGGGGTTTTCGAGAATTAAAAACCAAAACGACCACCCTCTCTCCGCAAACTGCTGTCAGGACTCTGGGCGATGGCCTGTGTTGGACTGACAGCCGCTGGGAGGTGGGGGGGGGAGACGGCTATTGCGCCCGGACTGTGGCTGGGGTGGGGGGCGCCGAGGTGACCTCATGCCCTTGGCAAAAGCCTCCCAGGGACAGGGAGAAATATGGGATAAGCAAGAAGGCCCAATCAACCTGGCTTTAAAAAAATCTCTCAATTTAAAACTGTTTTAAGTCAGAAGTCGCATTCTCTTGCCGAAATGTCGCTGAAGCAGCCGGGCGCTTTGCGGAATGACAACGTAATGGGCTCAAGTTTGCGGAGGTGAATGCGTGCGAGTCGTGACGCCGGTCCCCGCCCGGGTCTCGCTGCTCCTCCGGAAGCAGCGCACGACCGGGTCCCCAACACACTTTCTCGTTTGGCAGCGAAGCCCCCGCCCCTTGCCCAATTGGCTGCTGGGTTCTGGCTGGATTCGAATCGTGAATAGCGGTGTGGCGCGGCCCAAATAAATCAGCCCTGGGGACAGGCCGCGCCCAGGAGCCAGCCCTTCTCGGAGGGCGAGGAGGGAGGCTTACGGAGGCAGGACTACTCAGGCTGGAGGGCCTCTCCTTAGGTCTAAATAGTCCGGAGAGAAACGATTTCGTTTGAGATCAGAATATCTAAAAAAAAAAAAAAAAAAAAAAGTGGAGGAGGGGAAGAGAAAGAGACAGGGGAAAGGAAAAGGAAAAGGAAAAGAGAGCAATCGCAAAGAAAACAGAACTTCTAAGCGCCTGCCTGTCTACTGGAGAACTGTGCACGCCTTCTCCAGCCTTGAGTTTCTCCCAGTTTGGGGTGCACTCTTCCATCTACACCTCCTATTCCGCTCGCCTTCTGGGGCACTCAGAGAAAGCTCAGAGCCTGAGGCCCGAGGGGGTGGTTTTGAAAATGTGTTGCTCCCTGGGGGTGTTGTCCCCAGGGCTAAAGCCGATGCACTGGGAACACTATAAACTGGAAGGGTCAGGCAGCTTTCTGTGTGAATAAATTCTACAGGTTAAACAGTTTTATTTTTAAGTTAGCTGAAAAGAAACTTTTCACTACCCATTCCTTCCTTTAGTTGGAAAACAAGTGACCCTTCAAAGGAGCAAACAATTACCTTTCCCCACCTCTTCGTTTAGGCAATGTTAAAAAAGAGATTGGGAATGGGGGTGTGGGTGGGGGTAGAATGCCAGGTCCCTTGGCAAGCCCTCAGAATCCGGGTGTTGGGGAACCGGTGAGTGTCTGTCCCGCCGCTCACCTCTGCCCCTGCCTTGCCAGCTCCAGAGTCCCTCTCACCGCTGCCGCAGAGCTGCGGGAAAAGCAGGTCCCTGGGGGTTAACTATTGTCCAAGGAAACTTATTCACATAGACACCCCCGTCCTTGCAAATATGGAGGAAAACACAGCAGGAATCAGATTCACCCCCCTGGTCTCTAGGCTCTGGAGTGGAGTCCGTTCACAGCCTGGACTCTCACTTAGCTAGAGGATTTGTTAACTTGACTTCATAGAAATCACCTCAGTGAGATAGGAATTTAAAATAATTTTTTTTTTTTTTTGCTTTTAAGAGCAGAACCGAGAGACATTTCAAAACAGTTGGACTCAAAGGAAATGAAATGTAATGTCCACATTTCTGGAAAAAAAGCTTACAAATGAGCTTCTGAAAACTCAGACTATTTAAAAATTTGGTCGGAACTCACGTAAAAACGAAAAGAAAGGCATTTGAAGCCCTGGTCGGAGTCGAATGGACGGCAGACGCCGGACCTTCTTTTCTGTAGTCGCTTTCGATCGAACTCAGGTTAAACTTTAAAGCCCCTGGATTCTGCTCCAGTCGCCAGTCTCCGTTCCAGTTTTCTACCTTCAGTCTTTCCCAATTGCGGCCACACTGAAAATGGGAGCCGCCACAGTAATCGGGGGAGGCAAAGAGGAATGCAATAAAAGTGCCTAAGTTGTATGAGAACGGTTTATGGACCTTCTCAGTAGCATTTAAAATTCAGAAGTGTTAAGCAGCAATTTACAACGAAGAATGAAAAAAAAAAAGAATTATTGCCAACTTCCACGATTTGGCTCCCTCCACCCCCACATAACCAGGCCCCATCCCCTTCTCCCTGCAGGATACACGGGTTCACAGCCCTAGGGTTCCATTGAGAGAAAACACACAGAGCGACGAGGTCTCACAATCGCTTGAGACTACGGTTTACAGTGTCCTATCTAACCTGGATCAACTCTGTTTTGGCTCCTTCCCCAACTGAAAGAACACAAAATTAAAAACAAAAAACCAGAGCGCGAACGCTTTTAGGGAAACTGACCTTTAGAAAATCATTTACTTTGATTTACCCTGGGGAAAAAAGTGTAAAAACCCATTCCCACAAAACAACTCCTCCTGCCCTAGTTAAAACTCTCTGCAGCCTTCTGGTTTCAGGTCTGTCGGAACAAATCTTTTTGTGAGCGAAAGGGAGCGAGACATATATCACGGCTCCTGCCGCGGACGAAACTGCAGCCGCTCGACTCGCTGCTTGACAGATCAACGCTGATAACCCGTTCATCTCCAGCCCCTTTGCCGGCTAAGGACCGTATCAGTTTGTACACAGTCGTGATAACAATTTGGAGGGAGAGAAGGTGTTTGTGTGTGTGTGTGTAAGCGTTATTTCGCGCTGGGTCCCCCCTTTTTCCAGCGACTAATCTGGGACTTACCTTAAATTCTGCAGGGAAAGCTCAGAGCAAACGGGACACTCAAACTCGGAGAGCATTTCGGGGCACGATTGGAAGCCCTTTTTCATCCTGCGAACCTCAGGGACTAACCTTTCTGTACACCACGACCCCGAATTAAAAGTTCCCAAAGGTTAGCTGGGGAGTGCCGACGTGAAGTTCCCGAAACCTCCTAGGAATTTAATACATTTCTAAAAAGCAGGGCGGAGAGGGAGCTGGGTACTCGATTTCTTTCTTTCCCATAAGATAGGGTCCTCGCCCTTCCACAGCCACCACCACCTGAGCCCCAGGGTCTCAAGAGGTCGAGTAAAGTTTAAGGTCGGTCACATTCGAATGCGGAGCAAAAAGCTCATTTAACGTGGAGGGAGGGGCGGAGAAGACCAGAGGAGCAAAGCACTTTCCCCTCTCATTCTGGGGGCTCGCTGACCCGGGAGTCGGCGCGTCCCTCTGCCGTGGTGGCTGCGCAGGGCTGTGCACAGCCAACTCCTCCCGTGCCACCCCCCCCACCTTACACCATCCCCGCCCCCGGGAGTGCATGTGTAGCTGGGGGCGGAGGAAAGTGCTCCGCCGCAGGATGGGTGTGGGTCGCCAGCCAGGTCAGGCGTCCTGCCACCTCCGCCCCTCCCCGGGAGTCCTAGGGCTCGGCGCCCCCTCGATGGATTCGCCCCCACTGCCAGGACGGTGCTCGCAGCTCGGCCCACACCCGCGGGTAGCGCGACGCTCATTGTCTGCCTGGGCTGCGCGTTCCCCTCCCCCAGCCGCCCGCGTCCTCTCCCCACCCTCTTTCTCTCCTCCCCTCGCTCCCTCCTCCTCCTCCTCCTCCTCTTCACCTCCAGCGCCCAGCTGCTCGCACGGCGCAGTTCCGACCCACAGCCTGGCACCCTTCGGCGAGCGCTGTTTGTTTAGGGCTGGGTGAGTCCAATCAGGAGCGCAGCTGCAGTTTTCCGGCAGAGCAGTAAGAGGCGCCTCCTCTCTCCTTTTTATTCACCAGCCGCGCGGCGCAGACCCTGGACTCGCGCTCGCCTGCCGGCGCCCTCAGCCTCCCTCCGCACCCAAGAGCACCCGCCGCCGCCGCCGTTCTCCATGCGCAGCACCCACCCGAGGTTCGGCTGCTTCCTCTCTCGCTCGTGCTCTCCCTTCCTTTCCTCTACCCCTCCCCCCCCGCCCGTCGCGGGCCCCAGGCCCTCGGGCTCCCGTCCCTCTGCGGGCGCGGTCGACTGGGACGCAGGGAGTCTCCCTTCTACCCTCACGGCCGGCTGCAGCGGCTCCCAGGCACCCGGGACACCGCAGACCAACTTCTGGTGTGTTTCGCTCTCCCCGAAGCGCTTATCTGCGCGCAGCCTTATCTCCGAGTTATCTCGGCGCAAAGGGGCGGGAGCCGGTAGTCAGGCGGGCAGACAGAGACTTCTTGCTATCTAGCTTGGGACTGTGTGTGGGCATTAATTTTAGTATGGTTATCTCCGATGAGCCGAGGCGATTTGGAGAAGCAGCCCAGAAGCCAGCTGGGCTGCATTTCGTCTCCCTCCTCCACCCGCTCCGAGTCTCCCTGTCATTCTTCCTGCCCTCCCCGTTGGGGTGGCCTCTCTCCGGGGCGGTCTCACGCCCCCCTCACATTTCCCCCTCCTTTTCTCTGCGCTCCGCTCCACCCCGCTGCGTCGATCCCGGAACGGTGTGGCCTTTCCGTGGCTGGGGATGACCGTGGGGTGGACGAGGGTGGCCCAGCCGGTACGACCGCGCGCGCTTATGGCTGCAGACGCGAGCCGTGTCTAAGGTGTGCGGCGCTACGGGTCCGCGGGCTGGGCGTGAGACCTCCGCTCCGCGGGCGCCCCGCGGGCACCCAGCACTGCCTGGGCCCGGAAGGTCCGAGACGGCCGTCTCTGCCCGGCTCCCCACCTTCCCTGGGCTGAACTGCATTTTTCTCTGGGGCTCGCATGCCGTCTCGTCCGCGCAGTCCGGAAAGCTCCGGGAGAGTCTGTATGGGAGGAAGCGGAGGTTTCGTTTTCGGAAACAGGTTTCCTTCTCTGCGCTCATGATTTTCACGCGGGCATCCCTCACCCTGAGGCACGGCGGGAGAGGGGCACCCGCAGCGGAGGGCGGGATGAGGCAGCGCCGACACGCACAGCTACTTAGTTCTTTTCTGTATCACCCGGAGGGAGCCACTTTGGGGAGAAGGGAAACCTCAGCCAGCCTCTCAGTCACCCATGAGATCTGACGCGCGGATGAAGGATGCTGCGGAGGGTGGGCGGGGAGGCGAGGGGACTCGGGCAGCGCGGGTGAGAAAGGGCTCAGAGCCGGGGCCTTGGAGGACCCTGCGGCGGCTGAGCAGGCTCCATTCCTCTCTCCTGCCCCAACGCCGCCCCACTGCCCAGGGCAGGATCGGGGTCTTTCTAGAGTCTCAGTAGCTAGGAAAGGGAGTGTCAGATGACAGCATCCCCTTTTGGTAATGCTTTTTTATTTATCCTCTTGCCCCGGTCTCCCCCCCCGCCACCCCACCTCGCCTCAGGAGCTAGAAGTCAGCTTGGAGCGGCGCGGGACTGTGGATGGCCTTGACTGACGGCGGCTGGTGCCTGCCGAAGCGCTTCGGGGCCGCGGCTGCGGACGCCAGCGATCCCGGAGCCTTTCCAGCGCGGGAGCCCTCCACGCCGCCTTCCCCCATCTCCTCTTCCTCCTCCTGCTGCTCTCGGGGTGGGGAGCGCGGCCTCGGCGGCGCCAGCAACTGCAGGACGCCGCAGCTAGACACGGAGGCGGCGGTGGGACCCTCGGCTCGCTCGCTGCTGCTCAGCCCCTACACCTCGCATCCCTTCGCGGCTCCCCACGGACCATCGGCGCCCGGGGTCGCAGGCCCCGGGAGCGCCCTGTCGAGCTGGGAGGACCTACTGCTCTTTACTGACCTCGACCAGGCCGCGACCGCCAGCAAGCTGCTGTGGTCCAGCCGCGGCGCCAAGCTGAGCCCCTTCGCCCCCGAGCAACCCGAGGAGATGTACCAGACCCTCGCCGCCCTCTCCAGCCAGGGGCCAGCCGCTTACGACGGCGCGCCCGGAGGCTTCGTGCACTCGGCGGCTGCCGCTGCAGCAGCCGCGGCCGCGGCCAGCTCCCCTGTCTATGTGCCCACCACGCGAGTGGGTTCCATGCTGCCCGGCCTGCCTTACCTGCAGGGGGCGGGTAGCGGGCCCGCCAACCACGCGGGCGGCGCGGGCGCGCACCCCGGCTGGCCCCAAGCCTCGGCCGACAGCCCCCCCTACGGCAGCGCAGGCGGTGCGGCAGGCGGCGGGGCCACCGGGCCCGGCAGCGCCAGCTCGGCCGCAGCGCATGTCTCCGCGCGCTTCCCTTACTCGCCCAGCCCGCCGATGGCCAACGGCGCAGCGCGGGACCCGGGGGGCTACGTGGCGGCCGGCGGCGGCGGCGCGGGCGGCGTGGGCGGCGGCGGTGGCGGAGGCAGCCTCGCGGCCATGGGCGGCCGCGAGCACCAGTATAGCTCGCTGTCGGCCGCCAGGCCGCTGAACGGGACGTATCACCATCATCACCACCACCACCCGAACCCCTACTCGCCTTATGTGGGTGGACCGCTTACGCCTGCCTGGCCCGCTGGACCCTTCGAGACCCCGGTGCTCCACAGCCTGCAGAGCCGCGCGGGAGCCCCGCTCCCGGTGCCGCGAGGCCCCAGCGCAGGTAAGAGTCGCGCTGCAGCGTGGGGGTGGGGACGCGCAAGGAGCTGTGGAGCGGCTTATTGACTTGGGCCTTGTTTTTAGAGCTTTCCTGTTTGGGTGCCCGAGGTCGGCCTGTCTACAGGCGTATCTGCCAAGCCTTGGCTACCCAGAGCATATACACTTCAGCCCCCTGGAGAAGCTGGAGGGACTTTGATGAGATTCATAAGTAGTGAATGGGGTGGGCAATTAGGGAAAATGACCCCCAGAGGGAATTGACAGGGCCAGAACCCTGTCGCAGACCCTCGTTTGCCTGAATGCAAGAGGGAGACTCCGTTTGAGGTGGGAGGAGGTCAGTTTCGGAGAGTGTTGGGCACCAGACTCACTCTCTTCTCACATACACACACAGCCTCACCTAACTCAGCTCCCCAAAAGTGTGTGTTTTCTACAAGGAGAGTATGTAAAAGAGCTTGACAGTGGAAAAGGACTTAAGGATGTTGTTGGCATCCAACCCCCTTCTCTGAGAGTAAAGAAGAGAGGACACCTAGACTGGTCCACCTTGTGACTATCAGCAGAGACAGCTGGCAGATTGGCCCTTTTTTTGTTTGATGTCAGCTGGGCCCAGGGGCCTGCTGCCCTTGCCAGCCCCTGCCAGGCTTGGACCCAGAGTCTCCGGAGCTCCCACATCTGTTTTTCCTGCCGAGTTCAGCCCACCAATTGGAAAAACTTTCAGTTTCCAATCCCACTCTTACCGAGCAGTTTGGGGTGAACCGGGAAAACACAATTGTCAAAATGCCTGGAAACACCCCGTTGTGAGAAGTGTTCTGCTCAGGCAGGGGAGGGTGTGAACTGTGTTGTCTGGACTGACAAAGGGACTGTGGCTTCTTTTCCCAGCTGCCTCATTCTGGGTCCTTCCTGGTACTTTCACAGATCTCTCTTTTTTATGTTTAACCTGTTGGATATAACCTGGAAGATTCCTAGAGCAAAACCTTTTTTTTGGCGGTCATTTGTTTCCTGGGAGCTGTGGTAGTCACAGAGGTGGCAAAGACAAGGCAGTGCATCTGCCCAAGTTATCCCACATGGTGCTCTCCCACCCCTGGTCTGGGAGTCTCAGCCCTTTGTTTAGGGACAGCAAGTCTTTTAGGGGCTCTGATTCATTGGATAGAGAGTGGTCATTGCTAACTTTGTGTTCAAAAGACATACTGGAAATGCTAGTGTCCTGAATGTGAGGGATCTGGTTTGAACAGCCCTTGCCTAGAAATATTAGGAGGGGGCAACAGGCTCTTTGGTAACTAGCTCCTCCTCTTTTCTTCCACTGACTCTAAAATTTTGGTCTAAAAATTCCCTCTTTCCGCTGCAAACTGGCCTTGGAGATCATCTCTATCCTATTTGTAGAATGTCGGGTGGAGGCCTGCTGAGGAGAGTGGAGAGCTGAGACAGTTACCCTTTCTGCTGCATAGAGACCTATGTCTGGCTCC